AATGTGATCATGTACACAACGGCACAACGTATTCCTGTGCTTTAGAGAACAGTGACGAGACGGTTTCAGCAAAATCACCTCTACTCAATGCTCTGGATTTCTTTGTATTCGTAGACATTATGGCTTTAGAAAAACTGCAGATTAATTGAAAACACCATTGCACTTACACTGAAATCGTCTCTGGAAAGTTGTGCTTATCGTGTCCATTTTACAGAATCATCCATGCATTCATGTAAGCTTCCGTTGTTTTGTGTGTATTTTTGCACGTCCATCTGAACCGGTCCTGGGCCTCCCCTCCAATAAGTACCTGGTTGTGGTTGTAAACATTGCCGCAAGGGAGACAAAGGTGGCCGGGCGTGGTGCTGGCCACCCACCCCCTCGTGTGCCATACCAACCTTCATAGGTGCTCGCTAACTGCAATTCTCCCAGCAATCTGTTTAGGCTATATGGGGGATTTTTGTCTTTGTTTTTCTTGCGAACGTGGCTTACAGAGGTTACGTGGCTGAGTTGGTGCTTGGCGGGTTCGTGCGCGTGCGGCGTGCTGGGGATACTGTTGCTGCCCGAAACCTACAACCGCCTCCATCTCGACGTGTTCCTGTCTGTGTGACGTGTCACACAGACGATCCTGTCGTGTTGCCCCCACTAACCCTGAAAACCTGAAGGAAGTGGGCACTGCTGGCTAAACTTGCACAGAAATTGTAGCGGGGAACGAACGGCTTCCTTGACCTTCACTTGCGACAGACAACGTAACACAAAAGCCTGTGCCCCAAAAGTCCTGTAGACGTGAGTATTCTGATGGTTACATGGAGCAGGTGTCCGTTTGTTATTTAGAAGCAGTTGCATTTAAGAACAAGTGTTACATGTTTTTACATATGTATATACGATTAGATTTTTAATTGTTGAGTTTTCGTTGGTTCCCCTTGACAGCATTCTCCCTACTTTGGATGACTTTGGATGACATTTCTTTTAAAGAATTCTCACGAAGACTACACGTTGCTAAAATAATTGTTCAAATCTTATTTATTTTGCCTTGTGGAATTACTTCTATTCCAGAAGGGATTGTGCCCAAAATGTCTCAAACGTTTTTGTATTGTTAAGTACTGGTGTAATTAAGTCCTTTTTTTATCCTCATTTCACAAACTTCATGTTGGCATATTATCTTTTTTTTTTATTCGGGAAGTACATTAGCTAATATGTGGATTATGAATGTCGTGCTCGGGGGTGAGCACCTATGGACTGGTTTTGAATGCACTTTACTATTCTATGTTTCAGTCCTTTGGAAAGACTGTAATATTTTGTTATTTATATATACTTTACTCACGTTAAATAAAGTCTCGTATTGGATGGGCCTCCGTTTGATGCTGTAAATGCAAGGAAACTGCTGTGCATATGTAGCATGTGGCTGCATTATGGACGGCAGTTGTTGGGGTAAGCGATCATGATTTATTGCCAAAAGTTTATCCCACTCGGCTTGTGTGGCATTGGCATTTTAGATGTGCCATAAATGCAAATGGAAAAACAATTGTGAACTCATTCCTAATGCCCAGCCTATTGTGTGCCTTGTTTTTCCTTTTCTTACATTGTCAGTTTGTACATTAACTTGTTTACTTTAAGGAGATGACCAGGGTATTTTGTGTCGTGACTCCAAATTGTTCTAGTTTTTTTCACTTTAGGTGAACATGTCAATTGGTGTTGTGTTTAGGAGTGGTGTTGGTAAAGTAATGTAGGTGGTTTAAAATGGTAACTTCTGACCCATGGCACCGCATAAAATGTAGTGCGGTTCAAGGCAACATCTTGAATGCATGACTCACTTAAAGAGAAGCTTTTTAAATCTCCAGAGGGATATGCTTGTGCACCACAGAGATACTACTTTTTCAGTAAATAAAAATCTTCCAATGCTAAACGTGACTTACCTGAGGCTTTTATGAACATACAATTATAAAATGCACGATCCTAACATGTTAATCATGCACATCTATAAGGATATCTGTATATTTTGGTTCCAAATATGGGTGTTGTGCTTTATTACGCACAAGCATTCTGGTGAATGCATAATTGACCAAATAAAATTGATGTCTGAAAGATGTGTAAACATCAGCTCAGAAAAGTGTATAACAAAGGTCTGAATGATTCCATCAGGTGAGTGGTAGTCGTTTCCATAGACATTTTCACATTGGTGGCCAATTGACACTGCTATTGCAGACACTTTGCAATCACCGTATTTAATGTACTGTTGGGTAATATTGTGTATTGTACAAAATTAAAACATTTACATGTGTTATTTTCTTCTCTACAATTATATAGTATTTGTACAAAGCCAAACGTGGAGGTGCTGTGCAGCGGATGTTTGTAAATAACTTTAATTCCCACTATGTACTGCTCGGTGCACTTGATGGAATAAATTATAACCCAGTGACTTGTCTCATTTGACTGAACAAAATTGTAATTGGGGAACGCGGGTTGTTATGCATGTGTGGTAACATTTCTAAAAAATAAATCACCATGATCACAAGCATCGCCAACAATCATTCAATTAAAATGACTAACATAGTAACACCAAAGCTATCGGTCACTACCACCATCACTGCCAGCATAACCTATCATGCATTACAATTTGCAACACTAGAATGGTGGTGGTTGTGATAAGAGCTATTGTTATTCCGGTGAATTAAAGGACATGGATACGAACATTCTTAGCAAAGGTTCTGGTGCACAAACCTTTGTCCATAACCCACCAATAAAACACCACCCAGGATTATGCAGTTACTGCATAATATACCACAAGTCAAACGGCCATAGGTTTTCTGTTAAGAGTTTATTTTAGTCCAGTGAGGCTAATGTCATTTTAATTTTCGTAAAAAAAAGTTTTCTTTACACTGTACAAGTAAAAAAATAATACAACAGGGCATTGCGAATGCACTATTCACAAACAAGGCAGTAATATGCTGGAGCTACATTTTAAACCATGACTAACACATGTTGGGACAATCCTGCTTATTTGTTTTGTGCCTCGGTAAAGCTGCCGTGAGCAGGACTGAGCCCCAGGTCTTAAAGTCAGAACACAACAGGTCTTAAAAAAAATGATGCAATAATGGTGATGCATGGACTCCACTTGTTAGATACCACAGGTCTTTTACCAAGTGAGAAGCCGTCAAAAAGCTTTCTTGAAAAGGGTAACTATGATAATTACATTAGCATGGACAATTTTTCACAAGTGAGATGTTAGCTATGGCAACACGATAGAATGGTGTTGCTATGCTGTCACAGGGAAAATGTGCCATTTGGTAATTTAATACAGAAACAACTATCGGCAGGATTTAAACCCCCAATATGCAACATTTATCTGGTGACTACTTCACGTACCGCTCCGCTTACCCGGCCACCCTGGTCAGAAAAAGCTCAAACAAAATCTGCCAGCATTGAGTCCGAAAAAATACATTAACATGCATTTAGAAACACGGCAACGTGACACGTGACTGAATCTTATTCCCGTGCGTGTAAATCAGGTTAACGTTAGATTTAAGTTACAGATCCTTTCTGTGGTGACATTTTATTGGAGATGGCAACATGATAGCCAGAGCAATTGTGCAAATAGCACCACACTCAGGAATATGTATGGTCTGTGAAGAAAATAATGATGTGGTAATGAGCAGTCACAACAGTGATGCAAACCAACACACCCAGGCTTCATCAATCCAGACTCCCCACTGCCAGCGTCTCCATCCACTGCAAGCAGTCGACGGACAGTACCAACACAAAACACGTGTGGTTTCACGCCCCATCAGAGACGACGCAGTTAATTGTCTCGTACAATGTCACGTTTTTACCAGCAAACAAAACCAATAATTCGTAAACCTACGCGAGCTGTAATTGTGCAGTTATCAATCCATTAGCGGCAATTGCCATTTAAAAAAATCTAACCTTGGTTTGGCCAATTCATTAAGACAACAATAGGCCAATTGTTTAACGCTTCATCTCTTAAAACATCATGGAATGTGCCACTGCTGTTCGCGTGACCCGCACCTTAGGGGTCGTCCATAAATGACGTCACGCGATTTTGGACGAATTTTGACCCCCCCCCCATCGTCACACGGCGTCACAAAAAGTCAGACCCCCCCCTCAAATATGACGTCACAAAGCTCTGCCCCCCCCCCCGAAAAAAAACATGCTTAAAATAGCTTTAAACTATTGTCCTTGTAGTCCGTATTTAATGTGGCGCTGCACTCTGATGTTGTAGGAGAAAACATTAAAAAGTCTAATTAAGTAGAACGTGTTGTCTACATTTATTTAAAGTTGCGCATTTTGATGTGACGTCACATTTCTCAAACGCCCCCCTCGTCACACATCGTCACAAATGTTTGACCCACCCCCCCTAGGTGCGTGACGTCATTTATGGACGGCCCCTTACGCATAATCCAATTTTTCAGTTGCACGGCAACCCGAGTGCAAATGCACATTGCTTCCAGATTGTAGACTTCACAATAACAAAGTGTTTCAACACCTGCCTCTGGATGGCAGCAGTGTAAATGTAGTTTCTGAAACGAGCTTGGATTCGTGTGTCGTTATGGCTCAGGATCACAACGTTGGGAGGCTGTTTAAACAAACAAACAAAATTAACCTCTCCGCTCCCGACTCGAAATCACACAACCACCGTGGCACGTTTTTGGCTGCGCGAACCGCGAGGGCTCAGCAGGTTGCCGTGCTTGCCATGATTCGACGCACAAATTAGCAACTTGCCAGTCACACACACACACACAAAAACGCAACTTCCCGGGAGGTCGTCGTTTTTGTGTGTGTGTGTGTCCGGTTGAGCCGGACTGAAACTCCTCGCGGCCCACGCCTGCATTGAGTTTTGTTCTCGCACGCCGGGCACCACGGGGACTTAAGCAAAGACGACGCTCGCTGACACGTGCAAGGGATCTAAATATTCTCCTCGGTATAAACACACAACGCTGGATAAATACCACATGGGGGTTAAGGGACGCTGACGCAGAATTTAAAAAAGCTGAAATACAAAAAAACACCTTGCTTTCCTGTTAAAAGACTTCAAGTGTAGCAGCTTGTACGCAATCAGGATATTATTTTGTGTTGGAAATGCACAATCTTAACAGACGGAAAAACCTGCGAAAAAGGCAAAGCCACTTTACACGTGATTTTGGAATTGTACCAAGCACCTTGTGAAAGCGTTAATTTTACTGGACCCGTGGGCCCACAGGAAGCCTGTCCAGCAACTTCCTCAACCATCAGCTTGCACATTCATTGTGATAGCACCAAAGCAAATGATTGCCTTCTCTGCCAGTACACTTCCCTGGATCATAAATGGTTCTCATCAGATGTGGTCACTCTCCAAAGCGCATAAGACACGTTGTTCAACCCAGGACCAGTGATGTAACTCTTGGCAGCTCCAAACGCATTAAACTGGACGATAACACACATTCACTGTTGCGATTGCTACAATAGACGCCGCTGTGATGTATAGATGTTGTTATGGTTCCCGTGAGGTGCGTGGCGGGCACACTCCTTGTGGTCCTATATCTGGCTGCCTTCATGGCTTTTCGCAAGACTTCACTTAAAAGACAAAGGGAGGAATAAGACGAGTCGAGTGCCATCGACATTTTCTCACAGTGAACCTGAACAGCACCATTTGTCGCTGGAACAGACAGTGCTTATTTCGTATTCATTAAGCTAAATTATTAAATGCTCAGTTGCAGGCCAGGTTGCCGGAGCAGCCATGAAGAGTAACAGCTGACTTGAAATGAGCATTTTTGCCGAAATAAAGCCAACAAAGCATGCTACATTTTCGTTTTATGCTCTATTAAAGTCTTGCTTACGACAGCCAGGGTCATCCTAATTTTCTCAAGGTAAAGTGGATGCTATGTTCAGTTATATATATTGTACATATCTGCTTACAGTGACTGCAGTGGTTTAAGTGCCAAGTAATTCAGTATTGTTTTAACTCATGGCGGTTAGTTCTGTGTCCATCGTGACAATGTTTTTATTTACATAAAACACAAAAAAAAGTTGTTACATCTGTATCACGTCAGCGTTGTATGTTTCATCTTCGCCTGTTCTTTAGTGTTTTTATTCTCTTCCTTCACCAGCAACATTTAAAAAGGGTGTTGGACTTTATGATCAGTTCCCCAGCGATACATGAATATCCAATGAAAGCAGCCCTCTATTTTGCACGTTGTGCTCAGAGAGAGCAGCCCAGCCTCTCACCAGACATGCAGCAACGCATCCAAGCACAGCCACTTGAAGTCAATGCCTCCAACGCCAAGCAATCGCCTCAAAAGTTTGGAAACTGCCGCGCCAAGTTTGTACTTCTCATCAAGATTCTGTTGCCAAAGCGAGAACCTTTCGTCTCTTGGCGTCCTAATTTAAGTGTCGCCTCTGCTGCTCGTAGTAAGGGGCTGAGCCTCGGCCTGTGTTTCCACGAGATGGCTCCACTGGGGGACCGCGGTGTGGCCTCGGCCTGTGCTGGCTCGCGTTGCCATTCCGTGGCTCGTGGTGCCCGCTCAGTAGTCCTCATATTTGTTGACATCCGTGTAGAGCGTGTTGGAAAAAGTCTTGGTTGTCGTCTGCACGTGGGAATTGATGCACTTTGTCTTCTCCTCGTTGATCAGATAGTTTTTGTTGAGGACCTGCGAAAAAAAAACCAAGGCTCATTAGAGAACAGCACACACAATGTAGTTTGAAATAAAACAATGTTGAGAAATGTATGCACCGTGTATGATACAAAATCAGTTTTAGTAAAGTTCCATCGAGCTCCTACGTACGGGCCAACATTCAAGAGCAATTGGGCTCAGCACAGGGCAGAGCGGCAACACGACTCCCAGTTGCATTCTCGTGGAAGGTCACTCACCTTGATGGCATCGATCGAGTCGTATTTGTCCACCTTGCCGAGCGTGGGGCTGAGCGAGGGGTTGAGAGGAAGGGCGTGGCGCTGCCCGGCGCGTGACGGGCGAGGCTGGTGCTCGAGTGAGCGGGGTGCATGCGGCCGCCGGCACCGGCCCACGGCCGCCAGGAGCAGCGCTGACACCACGCACCCGAGCAGGCCCGAGCCCACCCCGGCCGCCACCAGGTGCACCATGTGGAACTCTGAGGGGGCCATGCGGCGCAAGGTCACCACCACCGCCACGATCAATACAATCTGCACTACACTTATTTCCCAAGGCGCCTAACATGATGATACATTGCGGTGAGTGTGGATGGAAGGCGGAAACATTTTTTTCGGCTGTAAAAATCTAGTATAAAAATATTAACGAAGCCTAATATTTGTACTCTCTAATGGGTGTTAACATGGAAAATTAATACTATATATATTTTTTTATAATTGAGTGAAATAAAACAGTTACGGTAATCATTAGACCTCCTTTGCCAGTACCAAAATGTAATAATAGGGGTTTTCCCCTTTTTTCTGGCCTTTTGGCGTCATCTGGTCGAGCACCAATTGGGTCAAGGCTCAAAAGAAAGCCGTCCCTTGGTGTGGACCAATCAGTTTCAAGGACAATGCATATATATTATCATAGTATGTTTTTTGTTTGCATTTTGACTGCAGGTATTGTGGTTAATGCAGACATGAATCCTCGTAAAAAGGTTTCAGTTTTGTTGCCAGAAAAAAGGGGAAAACCCTATTATTATATTGGTTACGGTTATGTTTTAGATATGCTGACCTTGTTTGTATAAAATATACCTCCGTTTTTAAAATACATTTTATCCTACATACATGTGCAGAAATCGTAAACAAGCTAAAATATATGCTCATGGTGTCAAATATGAACACATGTGCGTCATACCTCCACACGACCTTTTGCTTTCTTTCGTTGAGTACGCAACGTTGACTGGTATTTCTAAAAATAGAAAAAAAGACGTCAAATAGGGTTGATCGATCACGAGAAGGTCAGTGGTTTCACAGATGCAGCTGATTGAATGGAAAATCAGAAAGTGTTAATCATATTTAATTAAAAAGTGCACAGCTATCATCAGGCTCCGTCAAGCCTTGACTGCGAAAACCCATAATTCTAAAAGCTTAATTTCAAACCATCTGACGGCCCATCGAGAAAAGAGGCCTAATTCACACGTTGTTGGACACCACTCGCCTGCAATTTATCTGCAGCAAAACGGCCAAGTTTACACAAACACGTCGCAAGCCACCAGGTCTGCACGGGGACCTCGAAAACCCGAGACTGATTTTTGCCAACGTTTCCAAGTTTCGCTACTGGGCCGGCCATGTGTCTGTGCGCGGTGGTTACGGTGCAGCACTGACCGATGGCATTGGGATGCTGCGGGCACACCGACGTCTCCGTGCTGTTCCCATAGCAGCGCTCGGTATCAGGGAAGGCCACGGAGCAGAGGCGCGAGCGCTGGCGCCGTCCCACCACGTCACACTCGCTCCACTCGCTCCACTCCCCCCAGCCGGCTGCGGTAAGGGGGCAGCAGAGGTTAGAGAGGGCACGGGGCGGTCACAGAGGGGGGCCGCCAAGGTTTGGTCCAAGTAAGAATGAAACGCAAGTGAGCGACTTTAACGGTGGAGGGATTAATTGTGGCTTGGACAGGTCTTGATGGCGTTTCAGATGAAATGAGCCTCAAACCTTCTGCACGCTTCAATCTCGGCTTACCAGAACACTCTGGTGGGGCTGTGGAAATAACACAAAATAACATTGATTCCCGCAGCTCAGCCCTCCACAGCTCTGCAAGTCTTACCGTTTTCAAAGGCTACTTTGTGGCATAAAAATGTTTTGCCAACCTTCGGGAATTTCACGTCGGTTCTGATGGAACGCTTTAACTTTCTCTGAAAGTAACTCTAAAATGTTGAAGCGAATTCAATAGCCTTTGAACTTCATTCTGTGGTTTTTTCGTTATGTTAATGAGGGGGGAGGGTGGGGGCAGTTTTTATTCCACTTGGAAATGGTGCATTATAGTGGGGTTTTTTTGGGGTCTTAAAACGTTTTTTTTTTTAAACCAAGAAACCATTTGCGAGCGAGACACGCGAATGAGGCAGGAGCACGTCCTCTGAGCTCGGCCTTATCTCTCTGAGCGCCAGAGTGGCCGGGCTTCGAGATGCTTATCACACACGCACGCACTCTCAACCCCGCCGCCGGGGGAATTCGCACTGCACTTTCTCTCTCTCTCTTTCTTTCTTTCGAAGGTCTATTAGTACCTCTCATGCACGGACAACTGCCTCAAGTGGTCGGGCTTGATGACATTAGAAGCACGATTTGTTATCAAAAACAACGTTTGCACGTTAACTGCAACCCGCGTAAAGTTACAAAGAACTTTTAAAAATATTTATGATCGCGAACAGAAGGCGAACTGCACTAGTCCCCGCCAAAACAACAGTTACCTCAGCTACCAGTCTCATTTCCTGAAAGATACAATTAACCAAATTGTAATTTAAACAATGTAAGTTTATTTTTTGACAGTTAATATGAAGCAGTCCTAAACTAACTAAATATTAGCCCGCCGAGTTTGCTGCTTTCAAGCGGCTTGGCACACAGAGACCCCTGAATCCACGCAGGGCCAGGACGACAGCGTTGATTGGCTAGAGTCTTCACGGTGCAAACAGGGGGCGTGTCCTGCCAGGCCACAGCCAACGGCACCGCACGCATGTGTGGGTGTCTTTGTGTGTGTGTATGTATGTCTGTGTGTGTGTCTGTGTGTGTGTCTTTGTGTGTGTATGTATGTCTGTGTGTGTGTCTTTGTGTGTGTGTATGTATGTCTGTGTGTGTGTCTGTGTGTGTGTCTTTGTGTGTGTATGTATGTCTGTGTGGGTGTCTTTGTGTGTGTGTATGTATGTCTGTGTGTGTGTCTTTGTGTGTGTATGTATGTCTGTGTGTGTGTGCCTTTGTGTGTGTGTATGTATGTCTGTGTGTGTGTCTGTGTGTGTGTCTTTGTGTGTGTCTATGTGTGTGTTTGCATGTCTGTGTGTGTGTGCCTTTGTGTGTGTGTCTTTGTGTGTGTATGTATGTCTGTGTGTGTGTCTTTGTGTCTGTGTGTGTGCATCTGTGTGTCTTTGTGTGTGTCTGTGTGTGTGTGTCTGTGTCTTTGTGTGTGTATGTATGTCTGTGTGTCTGTGTGTGTGTCTGTGTGTCTTTGTGTGTGTATGTATGTCTGTGTGTGTGTCTGTGTGTGTGTCTTTGTGTGTGTATGTATGTCTGTGTGTGTGTCTTTGTGTGTGTATGTATGTCTGTGTGTGTGTGTACGTGTGTGTGTGTATGTGTCTGTGTGTGTGTTTTCAAGAGCCGAATGGCTCACAGGGCTATACCTAGTAAATTAACTGAACTGAAATAGTAACTGAATTAACTAGTGTCTCTGTGTGTGTCTGTGTGTGTCTGTGTCTGTGTGTGTACGTGTCTGTGTGTGTACGTGTCTGTGTACATCTGTGTGTGTGTACGTGTTTGTGTGTATGTGTCTGTGTGTGTGTCTCTGTGTGTGTGTCTGTGTGTCTGCCAGTCCATGTGTGTGGCACCCGTTTATCTCGGTGGTTTTGGGATGCGTGTGAGCGATCGTATGGGCGTGTGTGTTTATATTCGTGGCCATGCACAATGAGTTGAGCCTGTCCTAGGTTAACTCGGCCTAAAATAAGCACCTAATTTGGTAGTGTAGTCAACATTAACAGAGCACGCGTCGCTACACCACCCACCACTTGGATGTTGTGCCAGGATTATTAGGTGCTGAATAGATGCTAATTAGCAGCACTTGCCACAACAGCCCCTTGGGTTCTCTTTGCATATATCTTCTCTATCTTTAGCCAAAGTAGAAAATAAACTATTCCAGAGCACATGTGCACGCTAGATACAGAATCAAGCTGGGGAAGATTGATAAGATAACTTTCTTTACAAACAGATGCTCGCCCCGATGTTTGTCTTCATGTTTTCCAGTGTGTGACTGCACAAACAAACGCATCGTGCTCACCCTGGCATTCCCTCGTCTACACAGGAATCCCCACTGTGTCCACCAACGCGTGCTCCTGAGCAGATAATCCAGCCTTCTTTAGTGCCTCCCGTACTCCCCCCCCACCCCTGTAAAAATGGAAGTGGATTGCACAGTGACGCGGTGTGAAGCTGTGCTCATCGCAGAGTCTGCACACTGCCGTGAGTTGCCGTCGAGAGGAATGGACGAAGAAGCCCAGAGGAATCTTCTCCCGAGCGCCATGGCGTTGAGGAGCTGCATCGTGAGCCAAAGCTGCCAATGCAAACTATTTTCTGCTTCTCAATTTAAGTCGCAGCGCTTGAGGGGGCATGGGTTCCCTTGCGTTCACTGAATACAAATATTTAGCTGTTGCGTAAAAAAAATAATGGCACGGGGTTTTTTGGGACTCGTTTTTTTTTTTTTTGGGACAAAGGTTTTGGCTACATGGAGGTTGGCGCGATGCTGCTGTGACAGGACAACTGCCCTGGACATGGAGTTCGTTTGAATGTTTGCGAATTTGTGTCTGCAATGAGTCTCAGGCGGCTAAAACACCGCAAAGTGGCACAAGTAAGGAGTGCGGTTGGTACATCTGACAGTCATCTCAATCAGCTAATCCCTAACACCTGGGGTCAGTTGTGACCTCCTGCTTTTGCATGGTGTGGTACGAGGCACACCTGGTGTAGTACCGGCACGTGTGGCGTGGTGCGGTGCGGGCGTGGTGCGGCGCGGGCGTGGTGCGGCGAGGGCGTGCTTACCGGTGCAGGGCTGCGTGTTGCACAGCGACTCCTCGGTGTGCAGCCCCAGGCAGATGTCTCCATCGTGCGACGGCACCGGCTCGTTGCAGAGGCGCCCTCGCTGCCGGTGGCCGCCGCCGCACGTGGCCGAGCACGTGGACCAGGGCGCCCAGCACGACCAGCCGCCGTTCACTGGAGCCGCGCGCACATCGCACAACGAGCCCCGCCCGTCAACAGCCGCGGCCGACGCACGGGACAAGAGCGAGCGACGCGACGCCGGAGCCCCGCGTGCGTCAAAATCCGCTTGCCCTGAGCGCGTGTTTCGCGCGCCGCCGTGCGCGTCGCGACGACGTAAAACCCGGCCCTCCCGCCGGTCGTCGCGTCGCGGTAAACGTCGCGCGCCGCCCGCGACGCCAGCAGCCGCCCGCGATTGGCGGCGGCTGGCGTGCTCACAGAGGCGTCGGCGACCGCACTCGGGCACAGAGCCCCTCCGCGTACCGGGGCAGGGCTGCGGGTTGCACTCCTGGAACTCTGACGGGGAGCCGGGGCAGGAGGGCGGCTGCTGCTGTTGCTGCTGCTGCTGCTGGAGGTTCAGGCTGCTCCCTCCGCCGCTCACGCACAGCCGGCTGCGACTGCGGAAGCCGCGGCCGCACTCGCGCGAGCACGGTGACCAGGTGGCCCACGGCGCCCACGAGGCACTCGCTTTTCCCGTCTGCCTGGGCCCCTCCACTGCAATGCAGAGCACGAGAGCAACGGCTTTTAGCGGCGAGGGCCACTCGCACGCACGCAGACACGCGCATACACACCGTTATCACTACACGCGCACACACACCGTTATCGCTACACGCGGACCCCCGTCACCACTTGCTGACCACCATCACCAATGATCTCCATCATTCCACACCACCTTACGTTGGTGCCTATTGAAACCCAGTGCCCCCCCCCCCCCCCCCCCCTCTCCCACGATTATCCACCATTACCCCACCATCATGTCCTGCCCCCCCCCCACCCACCCACACACCACCGTCATCCCCTGTCTCCTGTGACCCCCCTTGGGCACCCCTCCTCCACTTACCGTCCATGCTGCACTCGTTGGTGCCGGCAGCGCAGAATCTCATCTCCACCTTCCTGCGCGCCACGTCGAGCGCGTCGGGGTCGGGGAGCCGCGCCCGGCACGTGTAGCGGAAGCGCTGCTCGTGGCGGCCCGTGGCCCCACGCTGCTGCTGCTGCTGCTGCTGCCCCTGCCCCTGCTGCTGCTGCTGCCCCCCCGTCCTGTTGCCAGCGGCTGACGGTGGCACCGGCAGCCAGGGAGTCCACGGAGTGTTCTTCCTCGCCTCAGGGCACGGGTCGCTGTGGCAGGCCTGGTGCTCCTGCGCTCCACCAGCGAAGGGCACGCGGGACCCAGTTTGGTTTTTGTTAAATTATTTAACGGTGAGCCAACGAACAAAGATTGTTGTCGCCGCATCACGCGCTTTTAAATGCGCTTCTGCAGCCGTCCGGAAACGCTCTTCCGATATGAGGAAGCCACTGGACTTTTAAATAATCTAGATCGACAAACTAACTTCTTTAGAACTGCTTTTTGTGCTTAGTTTCTTGTCCTTCCACCGCACCTCCGATTAGCATGGTTGGCTATGCACGGTGCGAAAGAAGTTCAACATAAGGTACATACATCATCTCGACGGACGGAAACGTTCCTCCCTGCCACACGTGTCCTCCCAAATCAGCGGCGACTAACGTGGAGATAAACGAGCAGTCGTGTCAAGGGTAACATTTGAAATGGTCCTGGTCCTCCCCTAGGTCAAGCCAGATTCAAATGAGTGCCTGGTGTGATATGTAAACATCAGTGCTCGGGAGACATAGGAAGCGGGGTTTGTGCTGGCCACATCACACTGGTGTGTGCCGTGCAGGCCTTAATAGGTGCTTGCTAAAAGCTCGTGCACCAGCAGTCTGTTTAATGGCAAGATTCTGCTGCTACAGAAGTGAATGGGCATTGATAAATGTGGTCTCAATGGAAATGGCAAAACATTAAAGGTCAATGAAATTAATGGGTTGACCTTAAACTTGGAGGAATGATCATGGATGCATGAGTAGGCATGGCAATGACATATTCAAAGATCGCAGTGAAGCCCTTCGAGTCCCGTGGCATTGCAAGTCTACGGCAAATAAGCGGATTACCATGCTGTCTTCATTTACTTGCGTGGTTTAAATCAAAATCCAATTTTCTCATTCCGGGAGAAGTTTATTGCCAGTTAATCACGATGAGAAAAAAAATCAGCAAGATAAACATTGAACTTGAATGATGTCTCCATATCATAATAATGATCATGATGATGTAAGGAAAATATAACTTTTAACGTGAGAAAGACAGCCAGCCTCCAGCTGTACTCTGTCATGACATCAGGGGTCAATACCATCTCTGCTAAGCCAGCTGCGGAGTGAAGGATGCAGCAACGATGGCAAGAGCTCTACAGCAATGTAAGGTAGTGTGGTTAAACGCGGCTCTGTGGGTGGCTCACAGCCCAGACCGTGGCAGTAACAGGTGGCCCTGATCAGCACCGCTTATAATCGGCACAAATCAAGACTCTTCAACCCTTCCCTGAAGATAAACAAAACTGGATGACGCAGATAGCGATCGGCTGTTCAGGGCCGAGACGGCTCTATCTACCAAATGTACTGAAGAGGTGAAACCTTAATAACGCCATACGTGTGTCACACGGAGAAACAAGCAGGGAAACCAGGTGTCTGAAGATGTTTACAACCTCTTCTTCGCACGGCACATTTTCCAAGTTGATTCGATCGAGGCCAGCGGGCATGGAATTTTGGAGAGTTGAATAATTGCTAGCTTCTCAGTTGTAAATTCTTTGCGGCATATCGTGGAAGGTTCAGGAGTAAATTGTTCATGGTAAGGAGGAACATGTGAGCAATTTTAATGAGCCACTTTGCCAAACCACAACACGCTTGTTTACGAGGTTCTTTCGATAAAAAGAAAAATATCTTCTAACAAAATTCCACATTGTAATCCAAGAGATATAAAGATTCCCTGTTTAGCCATGTGGACTGTCAGGAAAAGTGCTGTTAGCGTGCACATCAAAAGGCAAATTCATTATGCGAGGGAGCAGTGTGGTAAGCACCACACTCACCCAAACTCTCCCAGGTACTCAACTTCAATTAGGCCAAGTCATCCTATGGGAGGTCCAAATAAGATTCAGATACCAATTACCACCATTATGCATCACAGCCAGGCATTGAACGCAGGTCTCTGGGATGGTAGTGGGGTGCATGAACCACTACAACACCTCTCGCTGCAATGTGATTCAATGTAATGCACGCACGCGATCGCGCGCACGCACACCTAGCATTGTGTCCGACAGCCTTGGGCGATCGTGAGAGCCTTGTGCGAGGAAACGACTGCCACACGCGCCCGGCAAATGGAGGCCACGGAGCGGCGTGGCACACGCACGGAGCTCGCACGCGCGCCGCATACCGCACGCAAGGCCCAGCCTGTCCTGCCCTGAGCCCCACGGCTCTGCGGTCCAACCTCATCCTGCCGCCCGTGACACGCGCCTCAAGAATGCGTCCCGCAAAGTGCAGGGAGCTTTGTTCCAACATGCACGGGTGGCCAGAGCCTCCATACCACCCGCCCGCCCATCCACCTACTTGTGACTTAGCTAGCACGGCAGGGGGGGGGGTGAACACAAACAGCCGCAGCCTGTTGCAGCAATCTGCATAAATGCCCCGCGAGCCAAGTTTACACGCGTGCGATTTGTCCCAATGCTCTGCGCTGTTAACGCAGTGGCGAGTACAAGTGTGACTGCAACAGCAAGAGCGAAACTCCCCCTTGCAATTAGGCTCGTAGCACGAGCGAGTGCCGTTCTGGGATGCACTGGGACCGAGGGTGAATGCGATTGCAACTGGGTCTTGCTCAGCCAAGCAGCGCAACAGGGATGCGTTCCATTCATGGTCTGCCAAACTATTCCCCAGCGCACGCACACAAAAAAACACAAAGATCCCCCGTACAGCCTTAACCGACTGCAGGAGCAAGTGCTGTTAGCGAGCAACTATGAAGGCCGGCACGGCACACGAGGGGGTGGGTGGCCAACACCACGCCCGGCCGCCTTTGTCTCCCTAGTGGCGATGTTTACATATCGAACCGGGTAGTCATTTGAGGCTGAGTCGACCTGGTGGGCCAAGTTAAGCGGGGAACGCACACACCCAATCACACACACGCACGCACGCACGCATTCACTCTCACGCAGTCTCGCATGCGCATTCACACACTCACACATGCGCGCACACACGTGCACATTCATTTACAAACAACAAAGATCCCCCGTATAGCCTTAACAGGCTTTTGGGGAAAGTGCCGTCGCACAATGCCCTAACCACCGCGCCACCACTCCCCGCCACAAGGACACGAGTGCACGCGCGCACAGCCGCGCACACAAACCCGCACGTTCACGCTCACACACGTTGCGTACAACACATCCCCGCGCACTCTTTACGCGCGCGCTCGCACGCGGGCATCTGGGATCCAGGCGCACGCGCGCCTCCACTGTCGTCGCACAATGGAATAAATCATCGCTTGTCCTCTCTGTTCTCTGGCCGCTTGCCACTGTTGAGAGGCCTTTGTGAGTGCTCCAGAAGAGTGCCGAAACCATCGCTGGCACCGTAATATATCGCGCGGTTCCCCCAAACAGTTAACCTCTTTTGCCGCTTTATTTACGACGTTAAGTCTGTAAAAGGGGATCCATCACGGTCCCTGTTGCTTCAACAGAAGAGACAAAAAAAAACCGGTGTGTTTCAGAAGAGCGCTGTGCTCCCATTGCGAGCACCACACAGCTGTTAAGTGAACTTCTTCACCGAGCACTCAACCAAACACACACACACACATGTATACGCCTGTCTCTCATGTTAATGTACGCAGTGGAAAATGTACGTGAAAGGTCAAATGGTTCCACGCTTAACTTGGGCCACTGGAGAAACCGTTGTTAGCGAGCACCTATCAAGGTCAGTGCAGCAACACACCAAGGCCAGCGTGTGTTTCATTGTTGACTTGGGATAGAACCGGACCAGATTGGTACACCGATTACTTCATCAGATTCTTAGCTCTTTCGGTAAAGTCACGTTGAAGGGAAACAATAAAATAATAAAATATATATAAAACAATACAATTCTCACGACGTTTCGACCATAACACAAAGGGTCGTCATCATACACCTGATGTTGAGGGCCTTTGTGAGTGCTGATGACGACCGTTTGTGTTATGGTCGAAACGTCGTGAGAATGTAATTGTTTATATATATATTTTATTATTTTATTGTTTCCCTTCAACGTGACTTTACCGAAAAGAACTAAGAATATGAATTACTGCAGTCACGAAAGCTTTAAATCAAAATTTTACTTCATCAGAGTTGTGCATCATGGGTATGAATGAAAGACAAATAACCGAGACGATAGCACATTGTGCCAAGCACTACCCCACACTGCTCCGCGCGCACGGCATATATAGTAAAATAGGTACACCTTAGATATAAACACATTGACATATATATAATATATTGTATCAAAGACAGACCACTCGTCCACTGCCATTACGGTAACATTTACAGGTCACATTAATGATGGATGCTTTTAATTTAGAACTTGTTTATCTTGTATGAAAAGGGGGCTGGTGGGGAGCTGGGTGGCCCTGAGGTGACATCGGCACCACGCCCAGCCGAACAGGGCACCGTACCGAGGGGGTACCGAGCGGAAACCGCTCGGTACCTCCTGGGGGCCAGCAGCCTCCTGCACCGGGCTCATCAACACACCGCGACCTCGAACACAAACCGCCAACTGGGCCGCGGTTTTCCACAGATCACTGGGGGGTGGGCGGTGGGGGGAGCGGGAGAAGGGGCACGTTGAATATTTTTGGTGGCGCCGCGCTAGGGGGAGAACGGGCGGATGCATCGGGTACATCCGAGCACGCCCAGCCCGTACGGCGCACAGGGACGTGTGCACGTGTGTGCGTCGGAAACAAATTCTCACACCGCACGTAGCCACCGTGCCCTTCCCACTCGTGCGACGCATGCATGCTCCGGCCAGGAACGCGTCCCGCGAGGGTTACTCGGGAAATATCAGCAGTAGCACCCAGGTGTAAATATCGCGCGATGAATTAAATTGACTGCCCGAACATCTCGCTAATGCGGTTTTATGAAATGCCAACAAAACATTTATACGAAAGTGAAAGAGATGTCAGGCGTAGTTAGCGTCCATTTCAATCGTGCATATTGTGCATGCTTGTAAAAATATGTACACCGTGCATTCTCTGGACTACTTAGAGGGTGTTAATTGCCAAAGACTTCTTGAAGTTTCCTAACTCGTGATTATCACGTGTGTAAAATGCTCTCTTCTGTTAAAATTACTTGAACCTTTTATTTCTTCTGCAAAAATCTACGACTTAGAGCAGGAACCCCCGTCTCAATCTCTCTGGGACAAACAGCTGTGTTTCTGAAACATTAGCCTCGCGTATATTTACGTCTTTTAGACAGTGATATGACGGTGGGGAAAATGCGTTCAGCCTGCCCCAATTACCCCTCCACGTGATAGTTAAATCTGAACGCCTTGCCGATTCGGGCAGGGATTGATACCCTCCACAAGGCCGGTGCGAGCCTTGCGACAGCGTGAGGGAAAGCGTGACCGTCGCTCGGGCAGCAAGGAGCGAATCAGAACCGTTATTCATCCTGGAGAAATCCGATGCGCTACGATGCTCTTTGTCACAGGGGGCACCAGGCTCAGAGAGAGAGAGAGAGAGAGTGTGGCTGTCGCAGAGCGCGTCGAAGGCGCCCGTGGCGTGCGCCTCTCACCGTGTCGCACCCGGCGCAGGCTTCCCCGTTGGCGGCGTTGGCGTTGGCGTTGGCGTTGGCGTTGGCGCACGTTCGCCTGCGCGTGCGCACGCCCCCGCCGCACGGCGCGCTGCAGCGCTCCCACGGCCCCCACGGCGACCAGGTTGCCGGCACAGGGCAGCGCGTGTGCTCGTTACAGAACCTGGCAGCACAGCGCGGCGGCACAGCGGCGGCGTCAAAAACCGCCGCGGGTCGCAGCGTGGGGTCAAAACGACTCGAGCAACGTATTGTTTCACTGTCTGACCTGCATTTTATTTTGTAAAACAAATGACTGTGGAGAACGGTTTTTTTTTTCCAGTTTTTTCCGATGTGCATCTATATACACACACAATTAGGTTTCTAACATCAATTAGACATGGGCTTTACCATTATCCTTAGCGACTCTTTCTTGGTTGTCCGCATTTATTGGGACACATTGTTCTACATGACTCCGCAAACAAACTGCTGAGTCTAATTTCCAACAACAGAGACACACAGACGCGAGAGGCGAGCATCGCTATTGGATTTGGTCGGGGCGGGCAGGGCTGGCGGATGGACGGACCAAGGGCCCTGTGACTGGCGGGTGCGGCGGTGGGACGCAAAGTGCACGCACCTCTCCTCACGGTTCTGCCCCACGCACACTCGGCCTCCGTGCCGCGGGCTGGGGTTGCTGCACGAGCGCTGCCGCACCTGGAAGCCCATGGAGCAGGTGGTGGTGCACACTGACCAGGCTGACCACGGCGTCCAGCCGCCGTTCCTGCACACGGCAAAATCACCGCAACCTCATCACCCCGTGTCTGCTGCTTGCCGTCACATCATTACCCTCCGTCACTGTCGTCATCGTCGTCATCGTCAGCCGGACACGTTTCATTCGCTGGTGCGGAGGACGCAGAGGTTACGAGACGAGTGTTGGGAGAAGTGCGAAGGAGTTTTGTCCACTCAGTACACATAGATTCTGTCCGGCTCTGTGTAAAGATGATCCGGTGTCCACCAACTATTTTCATCTGCTCTTACTTGTCCCTAAATATTGTGTTTCTTTGTGCGTGTGTGTGTGTATACATATGCATGTCTATATGTGCACGTGTGTTAATGTGTACGTCTGTATGTTTGTATTTATGCGTTTGTAAAACGTGGTGAGGTATGTTCACATAACCCCTCTTCCAGTAGTGGATTGATGAAAGCTCCCAGCCGCAGACACGCATTTATAACCGACATGAACGCTCTGGCAAGACAGAGCGTGGCCTGCGGCAATATTAACGGCCGATCAACGTGACAAAACCCCTCGGCCCCCCTTTCCCCTCATGAGCACGAGCACAAGCGGCGAGCGAGCAAGCGAGGCCGCACCTGGAGCAGTTGGCCACCTGCACGGTGGCGCCGTCACAGGGCCGCCCGGCACACTGCGGCAGGGGCGTGTCGCACGCTCGGCGCCGGCATAGGCAGGAGCTGCTGCCCGTCTCCCCGCCGTCCGAGTGCTGGCACGTCTCCCACACCGACCACGGCCCCAGCGCACCGTCCACCGTCAGATTCCGCACCTGCGCGAGATCGGGGGAGGGGGGGGGGGGCGGGGGAGACACGCAGATCAGCACCACGAGTCGGAGTCACGAGGGTTAGGGTTGGGAGGGCTAGGAGGGTGAGGGCTAGGAGGGCGAGGAGAGTGAGGGCTAGGATGATGAGGGCTAGGAGAGTGAGGGCTAGGAGGGTCAGGATTAAAATGGTGAGGGCTAGGAGGGCGAGGAGAGTGAGGGCTAGGATGATGAGGGCTAGGAGAGTGAGATCTAGGAGGGTCAGGATTAAAATGGTGAGGGCTAGAAGAGTGAGGGCTAGGAGGGTGAGAGTTAAGAGGTGTTTGGGGGAATGTACAGCAGCTATGAGAAAAGGCTTCAGTCAATCGCTGTCAAGGATGATAAATCTAGGACTTTTGAAGTCTTGAATAAAGCATTTCTTGTACAGGAATAGAGGTGTGGGCATACTGACCTCGGTTGCAGTTCACTGGCAAATTCCTGTAGAGGAATGTGTGGAGTGGAGGATCTGCCCGTGCGTGCGGTGTCACTGGGTCATGGTTGGGGCACTCACCGGGCACTGGGACAGGTCCTGCAGCCAAGCGCCAGAGCCGGAGCTTTCCCTCAGGGTGGTGCAGCGTCTCAGGGTCAGGTCCCAGCCACAGAACGGGTCCCGCGAGCCAACACATGTGCTGTGCAGTCACATATGCCCGCAGACACCACATGCACGGACACACGCAAGGACACACGCACGGACAATGACAAAGACACACGCACGGACACACGTGTGCATGCGGGGCGGGGAGGGAGCAGGGGGAGCATGAGCGGCACTCTCGACCCACGAGAGAAGTAAACACATCAGGGGTCCTCCTGGAAAAGTTAATGCCTCGTGCGTAATTGATGAGCCTTGGACATCTGGCGGCAGGGCGTTGTTTGCGTTGTCCTCAAATGGAGACGTTACGCCGCGAGGTCTCCACCGTGTAACCACAACCACCGGCAAGACCTTGAAACAAAGGCAAGGCTCCCTCCCACTTCACATCTGATGCACGCCGCTTTCTGAATCGTTCCAGTGAACTTACTTGGCCAATAAAATATAACACGAGCATCGTAAACAAAGTCTCTACGTGACCTTTTCTGCGCTCGCCTGAGCAGCGAATTCACGTAAACGGGACGACATTAGGCTGCCCCCGCCGGGCGTGCGAGGAGCAGGCTGCGGCAACGCCGTGGGGAGGGTTGGCGCTCACCTCTCTGTGCGGAAAGCGGAGCAGCGTTCCAGGGGCAGCTTGAGCACGGCGCCATCGGTGCCCACGTAGAGTGCCCCATCGCCAGGGGACGCGTGCAGCGCCCGGACACGCTGACGCGCGGCGGGCCAGGGCAGCTCCATCTCGTCGATCACGCAGCCTGAGGCAGCCGCCACCTTCTGCACCGTGCCCTCATCTGGGGAGAGGGTGGGCAAACATGGGTGAGAGGGAGAAAGACAATTTCGCTGCGAACGTGGGGATTATTATTCGTCTTGCCTTTCCCAATCCGGGTAGTGACGATAGGCACACATTTAGCGAATTGTTACCGTCATCTACGTTATTACTAATAATAATTTACATTTATTTGTAAGGTGCCTTCCACTAATGTCTCAAGGCGCCTTGGCGACGACAACACTTGGCAGTTACACGACACGTCGAACAAACGCTAGACTCAGACGGGCACAGCTGTAGTCCGCGCGCTTTGCAGCGCCGTGGTTACCTGTGGCCACGAACAGCAAGCGGTGCACCACCCCGCCGCGGCCCCGCGCCGACGAGTCGATGGCGAGGCGCGTGAAACGCGAGCCATGGCGGGCGAGCAGGGCCCGACCCCCGCCCGGGGTCACAGGCTCCGCCATGAGCAACAGGCGCTGGGCGTCCACGAGGCTCCGCACCGTTAGGTTAGCGGTGGAGCCGTCCGGCACCGTGTCACACTGCGGCAACAGAGACACATCGCACACCGTCAGACCTTCACGGTTGGGTAGCGAGTGGAAGTTTTTGGTGGCAGGTGGGTGGCATGGTCGCGGGTGACTGAGTTGCATGTGAAAGGTGAGTGGCATGGTGGTGGGTGCTGGTAAGCACCTGGAAGTTGGGGTTGGGATTGGGATGGGGCAGCCAGGCCGTGCGCGGCGACTCCTGGACCTTGAATGGGCCGTTGAACGTCTCTCTGACGTCGCTCATGTTGTACACGCACACGGCGGAGGCCACTGGCCCGCTCCTGCAGGGGTGCGCGAGCGACAAAGGATCGCGACGTCAATCACCCGCAGTGCCAGCCCTTCGCACACGTGTAACCATCATCAGTAATGGTCTCACAGCTGCTGGATGAAGACATCCTTCACCATGTCATCAACATCTCCGCATGCCCCAACACATGTGACTTATCTTCATAAAATGTCGTTATTCCTGTTTCCGACGATTTCTAGACCCCAGCAAAAGGGAATTGTTATCAGCCACGGTGGCGAGTGATCTCTGTACCGGTCCTAAGATGCCCTGTTCCCCAAATAGGATGGTCTCATCTGCCTAGTGTGGTGCGGTAAAACAACCCCAATGATCGCCACCAGCGGGAAGTCGCACGTACCCCGCGGTGGTGAACACCCCATACAGGAGTCCAGCCTCGGGCACGAACACGGCACTCTGGAGCTCCGGGAAGTCGACCACGTCCTGGGCGGGAGCGGCACCGGCCGCGGACCCGGGCGAAGCGGAACCCAGGGTCCCCGAGCACTCGAGTCGTGCCTTCATGTACGTGGTCCATGTGTCCTCCAACAGGAAGCGGCCACCCAGGTCGTTGGCGCAGACGCGGGCGACGCGCGACACGACTCGCCGCCCGCACTCCTGCTCGACGGCGACCTCACGGAACGCCACGTACACGAAGCCGCCTGCCTCCCATGCCAGCACGAAGCTCGGCTCTGCAGGGGCAAAGAAAAGGAGGTGGAAACCGGAGCTTAATTCCAGCCAGTGATCCAAAAAAATGTTTCCTTGATCTGGATTGACTGCGATAACTTGGCTGTAAAATCCAGTCTACTTCTCGCTATGGCGGCTATGAGTCACGTGCTGTCAGCTCCAGGCGACTGTCGACATGGATATGTATTGAGTGAGAAATGAAACCCCGGTTGGAACGAATTTCTCGCCAAGTGTTGCAACATCAGCTGCAGAGAGCAATGTGATAATATATTTACGTATGTCTGTGCACACAAGCTTTTCGACGTGGATCTAAGCCCGACGCAAACCACCAAGTGCTGAGGAGCGTGGTGTCAATATGCACTTAAGAGAAAGTAAAACTAAGATATTTACAAGTGACTTCATTTCATGTAAAAGTGCAATTATTAATCACGCAAAATAAGGGCACACGAAACCACAATTACCTTAACCTTGAAGGTTAATACATTTATTTTGAATGCATTAAAAGTAGGAAAATATCAATTTATACCAATTCGCCTTGTATATTTATGGTAGACTATAAGGGCAGCCTGCGTCGTGTAAACCTCGCCGTTTAGCGATGTCAGGTGACATGTTTATCCTTTGGCCAAAATGGGGCCAACGTGGTGTCACGCCAAATGCCAGGTGTTTCACATTCCCTCTCGACGTGTACCTCGAGCGGAGCCACGATGGATCTGCTCATTTTACACCCCCGCCCCCCCCCCCCCCCCACATTGCCCCCCCCAGGCCAGGGAACAAACCTCTGGCCAACTGAAGTTCACGATGGCCAATTCCACTATCGGGAAGGCGTTAGTTTCACGTTACTCCCAAATCTAAAAAAAACTGGATTGCGCACAGCAATATCTGGAGCATGTTTGTAATGATCCCTTTGTACGTGTTGGGCTATCCGCTCCCTGAGAGACGTCAGCAAATCAAAGGTCAAGCTGCAGATTTACAATCCTCACTATGACGAATCATTTACGTAAAGTTAACTTTTTCCCGGAATTTTACAGCAACCAGCGTGATGGGGATATCAGTGCCAGAAGCAAGCAGCAATGAGTGTGTGTTAGCTGTACTGGGATGTCTGCCACGTTGCAAACAGGTTCAATTCACAAAGTCACCCTTGTTAAATAGGCGTCATCCCACTGGGGCTCTCACCTGGTTTAAATGTTTAACTAAACACATTTTTTTTTTTTACAAAACACTAATTATAGCAGCAACACGGACGCATCGATTCCGCACGCCGCTTTTAAATAACGCCACCATTTTATTCTCCCTCGCCGAGTCTCAAGGCTCCTTTCTCAAGGAGGTTCCTGCGTGGGCTGTTTCAATAATCCCCTGTTGACTGTTTTGAATAACTCCAGGGTCTGCCATCCCGCCCGGGGCTTCTCAGCGACGCCGAGTTGCCGCGTGCCGGCGCGCGGTTACCGTTGAGCCAGCGCGAGTTGTACTGCGCGGTGCGCAGGGTGGGTAGGCCGCCCAGGCTGCGGTAGATGGCCGGGTCACGCCCTGCGAAGTCCACGGCGGTGGCGGCGTAGAGCTCCCCGCGCGCCGTGAGCAGCGTGGCCGCGCTGTGTTGTGGGTCGAAGGGGCAGCGCGCGACGCCGTTCAGCGTCTCCCACACACGGTTGATGTTCCCCAGCTGCACGGACGCAACAACGATAACTACGGTGACGAAGACACAACACAACAAGAGAAGATTCGTGTTGCGCGTCGAAACCTGTGATTTGACTTTGGTAAAATTGGGCAAGTTAGTAACGAGGTTTATTTTTTTTCAACTAGGATCGGCAAAAACGTTTTGATAGCGTGTGAATTTATCCAACAGACTGCTGGGGAAAGCCCTATAAGCAAGCACCTTTTAGGGCCAGCAAAACACACAAGGGAGTGGTGTGGCCGGGACCATGTGGGGAAACTGTATGGCCTTTATCTCCACCAGAGGAATCGTTACTCACCCCAGAGAAGGCCAAATGATTGAACCAGCATCACCGGTTCATAGTGCAGTGCATGCTCTACTACCTCACCACGTAACACGATTGTGAATGTGTTTGGATTAAAATGGACAATGTCATAATTAACAAACACGTGTTTAATCTTTGCGCACATCCTGCCACCGTCACAAACCCCAGCCGAGACCTGTGCACCTTGCCAGCTGCTGCTGCGTGTACAGGCTTTGTAGCTGCTGCTGCTGCTGCGTATACGAGTTTGTAGCGACTGTGAGCATGTGGTGTGAAGGGGAGGGGGGCCCTCACGGTGCGGTTGGTGCACAGAGGCGTGAAAGCATTGGTGCCACACGCCAGCAGTCGGTTTCCTCGCACCAGCAGCACACGGATGTAGTTCTGGCACTCCGCCTGTGTCACACGTGCCCGCACGTACACACATTGGCTGTGGTCAAAAAACCGCACATTTGTACACAGACAAAGCATCGCACCGTTTACCCAATAGACCATCGAGGCCATCAAGTGGCACTTGTCAACAAGATTCACGGGGGGTCCCCCAAGTGGCCAGCATCACACATGGCTGGCTACCTTTGTCTCCCAGCGCTGATGATCATGATTAAACCAGTTGCTAATTTTAAGCCAAGTTGACAGTGTGGGTTTAGGCCGAGTTCAGATGGTGGTTTCCAATTTTGCTGTGCATGACGATCAGAGAATGAACTCAGGCTGCTGGGATCGCAATGCCGCCCATTAAAAAACTGCCCGACACGTGTGTACAAGTGTAGTGAGTGGGAATGTCACTGCGTGGTGCCGGGCCTGCGAGGCCACGGCGGGATGTATACTGTTGTGTGTACACCCCAGACACGGGGTGTACTACCAGCCCTAGTGGGGGCTTGGGTGAGCGCTGGCTAAGCGCGGTGGCACCACGCACAGCGTGCGGTGCGGGCTCCCGTTGAGAGAGCGAGAGAGTGTCAGCCAGCTAGGGTTACGTTGGGGGCATGATATTCTGGCTGACTTGGGGGACACGTGACCGGATGATACTGGAGGGGGGGCCACCGGTGGAAGGGGCCAATGGGTGGTCACATGGTCCGGGAAGAACTCTCGAGAGCCTTCGGGCAAGGGCGAGAGAGATCAAGAAGGTGGGTGGGGCGAGAGGCGGAGCCGGCCCCAGCCCGGCCCGATATAAGGGGGGCCCTGGGAGGGGCTCGGGGTTCTTGCTGTTGGAGAGGCAGGAGACCCACGTTACGCTTGAAGAAGCCTCCAGCCACGCGGTCCGGGACCCAGCTTGTGATCCGGACCGGGATAGTGGAACCGTGTCTAGTTCCATCGTAGCGTGGTTAGTTGGGTGGTCACCACCCGAGAGTTTGTTGTGTTAATAGCCTGGAGTGTGTTGTGCTAAGAGTTGAATAAAACGTGTTGCTCCCGAAGACAACGTCTGCGACTCAGTTGGACTCACTACACAAGTAACTAACGAATATACGGCCACCGGCGCACAAAAGGATTTAAACAACAACTCTCGGGGACTCATCGCATGCAGGTGTCATATCGACGGCGAGTCCTCTGCAAAGAATGCGATGCGTGCAATTGCACAAGAGGGGCTCGTCATAAAACCAACGCGAGAGATTATTCGTCCGCATGGCCGTACTCTCGTGTTTCCTGCGGTTTAGCCTCCCTAACGCCCGGCAGGAGCCACCATCCACGCGTCGCAGGAGAGAGGTCGCATTGGGATGAAGCGTTCATCGCGAGCGCGCTGTATGTTATTACATCACTGGATTTCCATCAATCTCGTAGAGAATCTCTTTATTGAGCGACGATGAATAGCAGCAGCATTCCTTACGTCACACTTTAATCCACCCTCCCCAGGGGTTGCGGGCCAGATAAATCACCAAAGCACACGAGTGGAAGGCAGCCAGCGAGTCCACCGCTTAAAAGGAAATCATTGTTTGGTCCTCGGCGTGCTGTAATCTCAGTGACCCCAACCCCCCATGGCCATGGGCCCCCCTGCTGCCCCCCCTCCCCACCCCCATTGCGCTCGTGCACGCTCAACACGAAAGCGGTCCGTGGGAACGTGGGGAATGGCTCTGCACGGCCCCTTCTGGCTCCGATTTCTCGTGAGGGACGCGGACACCAACTCAATTTGCTCACGAGCGGCAGCGTGCTGAGCCGCAACTCAAAATCGGGGAATATCTTGGCCAGCGCATGGCCCTTTACGAGCAACGCAGCCAAAACACTTCAGTTGCTCGGCCAATTATGATTTGGCTTTTCAGGCGACGTGAGTGTATGTAATTTATTAACAATAATATTGCTTCTAATAACAATGATGTAAATGTCTGTGTGACCTAGCTGACTGTCCGATGAGGTCTTCGTTATCATCATCAGTCAATATTTTCGCCCTTCATGGCCATTTACGAGCAAATCCAGCCAAGACATTAGAATGACCCAGCTGGTTACATTTTGGATTTTCTGGTGACATATGAACGTGTGTAAATGTCGGCCGCCTCGAGCTGACTACCCAAAGAGGTCATCGTTATCATTATCATCGTAAATATTTAATTTGATCAATGGCCTTATCACGACAAATATGTCTCCCTCAGAGCTCCATGACAACACACACACCCTGGAGAATGTTTGCCTCTCTAAAATTGAGCCATGCTTCTCAAGCTTAAACGGTTCCGATTTGATTCGACGGTGCAGACACGTAACCCTTGCAAGAGGCACGGTGGAAACTTGGGTTGGGGCGACTCGCTGCATCGCTTTGTGAGCACAAACAAAAGGTGCTGTGGGAATTACTCCACAAATTCCGGCATTTGCATTTTGCCTAGGCGTCATTGGCGCAAAATAGGACGTGATGACACAGCACGTGATATCACAGCACACTTGCAGAGCACGAACAAAATCGGGCGGATAAATGCTTTAACTTCGGCCACCACAAATGCCCGCCCACGGTTTGTACGACTCGTTCGGCATGCCCAGCAAACGCTGGGCAGGCTCACGACGTCGGCTGTGCTCATGGCGAGGCTCACCTCCGACTTGCCCTTGCTGTAGCAGGATCTCCTGGTCGTCTCGTCACAGCCCCACTCGCTGGCCTGCGCACGCATCGCACGCACGCACGCAGAGGAGGCCTTCCGGTAACGAGGCAGCCACAACCGCTATACGGACACAGTTTTCCCTCTCTCTCTCTTCTCTCATGATTCTCACTATAATCTCTTGATTTCGAAGTTCGAGTCCAGCTAGATGTATTATTGTAAATCCTGCGTGTGTCTTAGTTTGTCATCGGCAGCTTGTGGCGACCCACAACTCTTGGACACAGAAGTGATTATTGCCATTTATTATTTTAGACGGCAAGAACAATTTTTTTTCTTTATGTGTTTGCTTGCAGCACCACGTAAACATTGTAAAATCTGTTAACCCTCAGGATTTAATTCCTTGTTGTGATGTGAAGAAAAGTGGAAATTTATTGAGAGATATCGGTGCTAGAAATTTTATTTTTGTAGGAGGCAAAAACTCAACCCCACGGCTGCCATTTGTTGTCACATGCATAGCTGTAAGCTTTGTTGTTCAGGAATCTAACGAGACACAGACATGCAACCGTATCACATCGACTGACAGCAGCAGCAGTGACTGCCACGGAGGGAAACTAATGAAAGTTATTATTTTTAAAACATCGAACCAAAGCAGTGTCTCGGTGAGGATGGAGCGGCACACGAAGGGGTTATTTTTGCTGCGAGTGCCCGAATCTGGGCATCAAAGGGGGTATGTTCATTGTGGACGCCAGGCAAGCGAGAGCTCCATAGCATCAAGGTGTGAGTCCAGCAAAACACAAAACCACACTCAGACTAAACATTATTACAAACACGGTCGCTTTCATTGCTGTATCCGCCCTTTAGAAAACATAAAAGAAAAACCAAATACACCTGAGTGAGAAAAAAAAATATTAATATATTCTATCCATCACCAGTCCATTATGACTGCTTGTGTTTTTTGGGAGTTTTTATCCGGCGTGTTTTTTTTTTGGGGGGGGGTGGGGGAGGGGTTGTTGTTTCAAGGTGTCTTTTTGGGAAGGCAGAGGGGAAGCACGTCCCATGACACCTGGCCAAGTGGAATGTGCCCCGGGTCAGACGGAACAGCCCCCTGGCTCCAGGTGACGCCAATCCGAGCTTTCACTGCCCTGGCTCACGCAAGGCGGAGAGGGGATGAGCAGTAATTCCACGGCCGCGGGTTCCACTCGACGAAAATGACTCGCCGGAGGATTTCGGCTATGCGAGAGTGCTGTGTGTGTTTGTAGCAGAAGTGGTATTTTAGCGGCTATTTCATTATACTGCAATCTTTCAACTCGCATTTTAATACTCGCCATTACAACAAATCGAATAATAACTGAACCTGGTCTGAGCTACCCCTAAGTGAACCTCGCCTAACATGGGTACTTTGTGAGAAAATGAAGGTGGTTAGGTATGGTGATCATTCCCTTGTATATCGTGCTTCTCTTATTAATAAAACATCTGGAATGTTCTTCCTTCCGATTTTAGCAAGCCACTTGAGCTATGCACATTGCTTTATAACTGTGTTTAGTTTGTTGTCCTTTCCCCCAAACCTCCGATGAGCAGAGTTGGCTACATACGGTGTAAAATAAGTTCAACATACACACAATAGGTGCTAACAAACAGCACATTTTTTTTTTTACAATTTACCAGGGAATCTTGGCGAGTACGTATTTTATTGACAGTATGCCATCATTTCTGATACCATCAGTGCGGTAGAAATCCGTCCGATGGGTCTTTATGAAATGTGCGTGCCACTGACAAAAGCAGAGGGCCACCTCCACTTCTCCCTTTGTGGCCGACGGAGACTGCTGCTGCTGCTGCTGCTCACGCTTGCCAACTCGCTGGCAGTGGCACAATGGGGTTATTTTTAGTTGAGCGGTGGGGAATAAAGTGCCGCCCCCGTCGTCGCACGCAGAGTCTCCGAAAAAAAGGCGCCGACAATTCTGCCAAGGAGGATGGAGCGCGAGTCGGGATGATTTTGCTCATTGTGTCGCACCGCGACAAGTCCGAGCGGCGTGTGCGGTGTGCGACAGTCATCCGTGCAGGGTCTCAGGGCGTCGCGTTACACGTCCGCTTGAGAAACCATCTGCCTGCCGCACCCACCCCTGTCTTTATCTCCTCCTCCAACACCTCCTCCTCCTCCAACACCTCCTCGTTCCTAGCTTTGCCGGCTCGGTCCGTGTCACACCACACGTGAGCAGGCTTGCCTAGAGAGCCTCTACGTGCTCGCGCGTGCGTCACCTCTGGCGTTTCACGCTGTTATTATCCGTCCGTAAAGTGACCTCCATGGCACAGCGTCCACATGCTGTATCACGTTGAGAGCAGTGGCCAGTTGAGTACAGTATTATTATTATTATTTATGACTGGTGATGGCCACAGGTTAAATTCTGGCCACAAAACTCGCTGCGAGACACGTCACTCCTGCGATCATCTATAACATCTCGAACACTAAAGTTTTATTTAAAGCTTTCGTGACTGCAGTGATTCATATTCTTGGTTCCTTCGGTAAAGTAACGTAGAAGGGAAACAATAAAAAAGTATTAAACAATACAATTTTCACGACGTTTCGACTGCAACACAAGAAATCATCATCAGGTGTGAAAACCACAGCAAGAAAATTTGAAAAAAGTGGCGGTTTTTTTACGTAAAAAAACCGTTAAAAACCGCCACTTTTGAAAAATTTTCTTGTTGTGGGTTTCACACCTGATGATGATTGCTTGTGTTGCAGTCGAAACGTCGTGAAAATTGTATTGTTTAATATTTTTTATTATTTTATTGTTTCCCTTCTACGTGACTTTACCGAAAGAACCAAGAATATATATCTCGAACACTATTTTTCAAGGCTCTCTTAATGCTAAATGTAGTGAGGCACTCTCCGCCACACAGTGACATGATACTCAATCACTTTATATTATTTTTTTTAAACTTTCTCATGGCACTCGCCATGTGTCTGAACCCAAACGGTCATGTTTTGGCGGTGCTGAAAAAATGTCCAGTGAATGAGATCATAATATGGCAAACCTTAACAGTACATTACGCGTGCTATTTTGTTGGAAACGTCTCTGCGGATGCTGTTGTTAAAAGATTTTCTTGCCTCCCATCAGGGTTGCACTTTAATCCGATTTTGTTTTGGCGTGAGCTGTCGGTGATTTTAAGTAATTAATTCATTACTTTATGAGACCTCCTTTGCCAGTAACAAGATATAGGAATAGGTTTTACCCTTTTAACTGGCACAAAAGCTGACACCTTTATTCAAGGTATCATGTTTGCAATAACCACAACACAAGCAGTCAAAATGCAAACAAAAAAGACAACTCTGATAATAATATGCATTTTGACTGCTTGTGTTGTTGTTATTGCAAACATGATGCCTTGAATAAAGGTGTCAGCTTTTGTGCCAGTTAAAAGGGTAAAACCTATTCCTAATTCATTACTGTAAGGGCGATAATTGGCCCTAAAAATATATCATCGTTCTTGTGACAGAAAATCGCAATGCACCTGCTGTGTAGTACGAGGTTTCTATCCAAGAGCAGCACGGGAACTTTATCCCCAACCAAGGGCAGACTGATCGTCGTTGTTGTGCAGTGGATGATGCAATTTAAGTCTCCGAGAAAACATTTTTTTTTAGTACAGCACTTTCAGTAAAAAAAAAAATCTTGTGTTGGAAGCATGACAATATTGTTGTATATACCTACTGCACTACTTACACAGTATTCAAATAAAGTGGACATGAAAACACCGCAAAAGCTGCAATTTGAGCCCATCACAGACTGGCACGACAAGCCCTTGCATGTATAAATCAGAGCCCAGTAAAATGTTGAAGCCACCATGCAATCCCAACAAACAAGATGTAATTATGGGTAATAGTGTGTAATGTAGTGCATTTTGTGAATGAATGGACATAATTAAGAAATCGCGAATGATAAAAATACAAACCCCAAAAGGAAGGAAATATCTATTTAGCATGTTTTGCGGTACATTTATTGTGTAAATGTTTCTTTTGCAAAAATAAAAAAAATACGGAAAATTTAGATTATTAAACATCCGGTCACAAGTATGGCTGAGTTGACTGGTGTTTAACATGCAACCAGAGTGCACATATCCACGATATTTTTTTACTTTGGCCACATTGTTATTGTAGTTTGCAAGCCTATAAGAGTGCCCCTGTAAGAATGTAAACACATTATTTGGTGATACTGCATCGTTGGCAGTGAAGCACAATCAAGCATAATGAAAACGTTCAACACATTCGTCAATTACACTGCCTTAAAAAGGAAAATTATAATCGGCGACATTTTGGGTAATGGTCCATCTTCATAACACAACATTAATTTAGGTGTTATGAATAATAACCTTTGCCCTTCAACATTATACATTTCCCTGTAAGAATGTACACAGCCCCTTGAAAAGCTTGAACAGCGTCTGAGCTATTTGCTCTTTTACAGAATCGACCGAGCCACACACGATGCCTCATTCAAGTGGCCTATATCATGTAGGAATGTATATGATCCATACAATCTAAATGCATGTTTCTAAATGTGGAGCGCAAAACCGATGGACGCCGAGAAAATACGCAAACTCCCAAGTATACAGGCGCCAAGGTTTAGGATCGAACCCACGACCTCCTGAGTACCAGGCGAGGCGGATAACATCTCGCAAACCGCGGCACCCCAGAAATCTACTCGTGACAGTGGTCACAATGATGGCAGCCCTCTCCGAGCTCCATGTCAGCTCCTGCCCTGTGCACGACCATCGCAACAAATGAAAGCACCCTTAACTTTCGCGATGGATTTTATTTTGGGCTGCATTTTACCTTCTCAAACCGGCTGAAAGGGGCAATTTCTAACCGAGAGGCAAGATGTGAACGCCGTGTTTTTTTTTGTTTTGTTTTGCCTCTCTGGAAGACACCTGACAGAAACGATCAACTCTGCTGCGTGGGAAAAGCTCTCGACCTTTTCCCGACGAGAAAGGAAAATAGCGGCGAGCGCCACGCGAGCTCCGGACAGCTCAGGCGGCCCCGTGGTGGGGAGGAACCCGGTCTCAGG